TTTAAATCGAATGAGCGGGCCACACAGGAAAAGGTAGGTTTGTGGTTGCGGATATTTGCAGTAGGGAGTAAGGTTTTTTGTTCTTCTTCTCGTGTAGTTGGATTTGGATCTTTTCGGAGCGCAACGATCGTAAAGGTTTTAGATTATTGATTAGGTCGGGATCACGGGAAGTGACCAAGGCTTTATTGTCTCGAAAGACGGTTAGCGAGAGGAAGATAAAGGATGACAGGCTTTTTAAAGTGGTCGAAAGGTCCTTTTGATTTGCGAATTTGTTAGGGACATTGTTGATCAGTGCCGTGAATATAGGTAGGAAGGTTTCCGGTCTTGGGGATTGGGACTTCGATGAAGAGGAACATGCGGAGGAGTATGAAGAGGATCGGTTTCTAGGACGTTTAACCATTCGAAATTATGCTTCTGCTGGTCACCTGGTAGCCATCTCCGACTTTGCAGGGATGCATACTTCAACAGCATCACGTATCGTAAACAGGGTGTCCAGAGCTATAGCATCTTTAGGGGCACGATTTATAAAAATGCCTGGCACACAGGAGGAAGTTGTGCAAGTTCCAAATGAATTTTTTTGGAATTGCTGGGTTCCCTAGAGTTATAGGTGCTGTAGATGGAACACACATAAAAATTCAATCACCAGGTGGTGATGATGCAGAAGTGTTTCGAAATAGGAAATCCTATTTTTCTATAAATGTACAAGTTGTTGGAAATGCAAACTTGGAAATAATGGATATTGTTGCAAGGTGGCCTGGCTCAACACACGATTCAAATATATTTAACAACAGTAGGATACGTGCAAAAATGGAAAATATGGAATTTCCGAACTGTTTTTTACTAGGTTCATATACTTTTTTTATTTTAATATTGATTCTTACGTAAATTTTTTGTAGGAGACAGTGGATACCCACTTAGGGGCTATTTTTTGACACCCTTGTTAAATCCGCGGGGAAGGGCTTCTGTTCTATATAATGAAGCACATATTAGAACAAGAAATACTATCGAACGATTGTTTGGGAATTGGAAACGGCGCTTCCCTGTCCTTGCCTATGGGATAAGGCTTCAATTTCAAACAACATTAACAGTTATTGTTGCCACTGCTGTTTTGCAAAATATTGCAAGAACAGCAAACGATTTAGAGGTGCCGCCACTACCTGACGACATTGACGCCAACGAATTAAATGACCTGATAGAAAATGGAAATTTCGTTGACGATGGAGGTGCCGAAGAAAATTTAAATGCAAGACAAAACTTAATAGAGAACTATTTTAATAATTTACAGTAATTTATATTTATAAATACATAATTTAATAAAATTTCCAACAATTATAAACAACTTTTATTTAAAAAATTTAATTTGGCTTTTTTAATTTCTATATCTAATAACAAAGATTGTTTTTCTAATTCATGCAGCTCCTGCTTATGACGTTGTTGTTGTAGCAGGTGCTGCTTTTCGAGTTCACAAACTTCCAGCCGTTGCTGTAACAGTTTTGTGTACTTATCAGCAACGGCCGATGATGTGAGGGCCCTCACAACAGTGGCCGGACGTCTTCTGCTAGGACCACTACCCTACAAGTATCGATATAAATATTTCACATATAACAGTTACTATCACATTTACTATTGCATTGTGGAGGCTTCTGCTTACTGGCGTTTGCAGTAATGCAGCAGTGCTCTGGCAAGCAGTACTATTGATCTAAAACAAATGAAATGTAATAATGAGCCGTATTTGTAATTTCTGATAATAAAGTACTTCTTGTAGAGGTTCCACCATTCCACTGCCAGTTGCACCTTTGTATACTGGCATATAATCATTTTCGGAGTCCTACAATATACGACATATACAAAACAGTTCTAAAATATTATAGAAAAATGCAAATTTTTCATAAAAGCAATTAACCACCACAACCTTCGACTATTCTATCAATTGTATTGATATTTATAATTGATGAGAGAAAAATCAGTAAGTATACTTATAAGTTTCAATTTTCCATTACCTCATCAGTCTCAGCAATAACTTCTACAGAGTTATCGGCCATAAAGTGCTCCAGCAATGGTGTTTTTGACATTGTCTGCATAATAAAGGGACAGATTAAGTATACTGTATATTTACATACTTTTTATTATTAATATATACTGATGTATTTTTAATAGTTGGTAAGTTGCCCGAATCGCTATCAAATTCATTTGTGAGCCCATGAATGGTTTTGTCATTCACGATTGATAAAATTAAATCCATGTTCGAGGTGTTTAATTTTTTCTCGGGCCCTCCACCTTCAATAAAGTCTTTATACTTGTCTTCTACATAAATAATTTGTTACCTGTTATGTAACGCTTCTTTCTATCTTCTGCAACTTCCTTCCTTACATGCATTTTTTTATTAGTGTAATTTTTTTTAAGTGAGTTTGCCGTCCTATACCGCCCATCAGGAGAAGTTGCATTAAATTCCTGTTCAATACGCATCCACATTTCCGTTTTTTGATCATTTGTGGTGCCATCAGTTTTTTTGTTTTCTATTACATCCTTATATTTAAATACCAAACTAAACAGTTTTTCTTTTTCAGATGCCGAAAAATTAGCATTTCTACCTTTTTTTCCTGTTAAGCAAAACATTATTTCATCAGTAAATTATAAATTGCTGAAATCGTCTATATTTACTAATATCCATGTCGACTACGTATGTGATATTTTGTATTTTATAAAAAATGTCTGTACACTATACTAATTACCACTAAAAATTGTATTTAAAACTACACTACTACTATTTTTACTAACTAAAACACAACAAAACCAGACAAAAAACAAATAAACACAAAAACAAAAACGTATAATCACAGGAAAAGGCGGTAAACAACACCCTTAGCAACACCAAAACGGACAAAGCAGTTGGAAATTTCTTCACTATTCGGCACAAAAAACCCTACAAATTGTTACATTGTACCGTTATTGCCAAACCATCAACAACTAAGCACTACTTAGTTAAGTTGGAGATAGGCAGCGTACGGTGCAAACGAATTGGAAGTTAAGTAAGACTTATACTTAAGCAGTACTTTGTTAAGTCTGCCTTAGTAAAACGTCGGTGCAAACGGGCATAAAATTTGCTTACCGAGGTCGGCTGGGCTGTAGAAGTTAGCTGCAATAGAATCTGCAATCATTTGCGACTATCGAACGTTGAAATTCGCTGAATTTCCGCTGACTGCTGCTTTAAGTTTGCTCGTTGGCTGTTGATTGCTTCTTGTCGGCTGGTAATGGTCTGCACGCTTCGAAGATTCGATGTGGGATGAGTATGTTGGTGTCAACTAGCTGTATTTATACGATTCCGGCGTCGAATGATCTTGGGATGACCCATCGCCATCGGTTTCGTTGTTTGATCGACGCGGTCGGCACCGGCTAGCGTTTGTTGGTGGAGTACCAGCTCTCATAGTTGGTTTCAGTAACAGTTGAGTTGTATTCGTAGAGGACGTTTTGATGTCAGTACCAAAAACATCTCATATCATTTAACGTGTGAAGACAACCAATTTGTTAGACTCGTCTTTAGTGGTTTGCAAACAAATATTGTAAACGTTAAAATTAAAAATTCTTGTCAAATTAATCAATGTCATCTTACTAGTTTGTAAGTACATTTATATTTGGTAATATGTCCCTGTAGTAATAATTTAAACTTACCGTTTAAAAAAAATCTTTATGCTTATATTTCTAGGTTTTACTCTCGGATTCGCTCGCGTTGACATCCTAGATTCGTGGCATAGACTAAAATCCTAAAATTTTTTTTTGTATCCTTTGGGAACAGTATATTTTTTTAATAAAATTGTGCTATGTCCTTTTCTGTACCCCTGGTAATGTGTGCTAATTGTGATACGTACTATATTGTTTATTATTAAAAGATCGAATAAAAGAATACACTCCGTTACGTGCATATGTTAAAGATTAATATAAGACCGATAAACTTCTTTTATCGTTGACTGTTGTTTTTTAAGTCAATAACATGTAGATTTAATAATATAAAAAATGATATTATAATAATGATAAAAAAATTAGAAGAGGATTAGNATTATTAGTTAAATTATTATTGATTTTTAACGGTTATTTAAATTTAATATCATTCATGTTAATCCTGTGAAACAATTATTTTCTTTATATATATGTTCGTTATAATATTCTAACATGTTTTCTTCGTTTAAATAGGCCAAAAATCTTCAACCGTGCAATCAAATAAAGATACTTTTGCCTTAATACTTTTCACAAATGCTCACTTATCATCTAACTTACGCACACACACACACACACATCGCTTTAGGCATTCCTGAAAATAAGTAAGTCATTTGTTACATTTTCTTACCGTTGGTTTATAGAAATTCGTCATGGTGTATATCCATTTGTGAAATGTCCTCCATTTTCTTACATTTATTTATAATATTGTTTCAATTTTTAGTTTTTATAAAAACAGTTTCTGAATCTTGAATTTCAAATATTAGTCTGTTTTCGTTTGTTCCAACAAGACTTTCTCCGATTTGTTTTTTTGTATAGTATAAAGCACTTCGTAGAATTTCGTCCTTTCATTTCTTATATATTTATTATAGCTTCATAAAGTTTTAAACTAGTTTCGATACACAACTGGTCAATGTCAATGTTCGATCAGTATAAAATTTTAAAAGACGTAAATTGCGTTGTAACGTTTCCTTTTTTTTTCAGCGAAAAATCTCCTTACTACTAAGCTTCGTATTTGAGGAATATAGCTTGTCTTTGTTATTATCTAATTCAGTGTTGTTGTTGCTTTCGAGATTATTTGCGTGTTTTGATATTGTGTTGAATTTACTTACGCAAATATGTTTATCTACTGTGCTGTTTGTTGATGGTCGCTTTCGCTTTGAAGCGGAGATCGTTCCTTGTACACAGTAAAAAATAATTTGCATTATTGACAGAAAAACGTAATAAACTGAGTATACAATTTTATTTTGTTATTAACAAAAAAAATTTCTCGTCAAATGTACGCTGGCTCTAATTTTCGATTTTGTTAATGAGTGCGTAATTAGTTTTACATTAGTTTTTGCTAATCTAACCTCCAACAGTAACTTATCCTCCCTTAAGACAAAACACGTTCTCGTCTTTACACGATCACAAGACACAGAGGTGGAGATGTCTTCAACTCTTTGAGTTCCTTGCCAGCTTCTTTATCCTTTTGGGGTTAATTTGAATTGAATAGTGTCACGAACGTGATGATAGTATGAGATGCGAAGGTCGACTGCTGTAGATGGTCTTTTTCTCTTTTTCTTCTGTAGCAGTATTACTATGTCTCGGTGGTCTTGGGGGTAGCTGCAAATTTTGAGTCCTTGTTATTTGCATTTCATTTGCTGGTTGTGGTCATCAGTAATAATGTAATGATGCCCAGTAAATAGTAGGGGACTTGAAAAAATCTGTGACATTGTCTCAATTTGGTTAACAGAAAAGTATTGGAGATTATTTACGACAATACAATCGCTACGCCATAGGATAAAAGTTTCATATTAAGGTTATATTAAAGGGTAAATTTTGTTTAATTTCAATTAAATGGGTTCTAGCATAGAAAGATTAATTATACATGGCATAATATCATCTAACAAAGCAATGGTTTATTTATTGAATTTCAATTAATTTAATGGTTCTTTTTTATCTGTAGACAGAAATGATTTTATAATTTTGAATATTTTGCGTGCAGAGGCGTTTGATTTCTACAAAGGTTGCATGTAGTTCAATTTGCAGTCAATTTATTTCATTTTTAAGAATACCCGTAGCAGTATTAAACGCACGAACGACTCATCACGATTATCTTGAACACTGTTAATTAAATATTACAGATGTGATGAGCAAATGGCATTTTTCATGATAGTGTACAGTTAAGAAAGTAAGTAAACTATTGCTAATAAGAAAGTAGGAATAAAATACGAGGCTACTGCCGAAATTTTCGAATAAAAAATTAATGTTGTTTAGTCTCGGCTTGTGACAGGTTGAGGAGAAGGGTGATCCGAAATGTCTTCGTCATCCTGCAACAAAACATCTTTTCTTACCCTTCCAACGTTATGAAGTGGTATTTTTCTAATTTTTGTTTGTCCTGCTAATATTCCTTCAATTCTGTCATCATTTTGGTCAATTTTGGTTGTTCTTTGAAATTTAGGGGTCATTTCGGATTTATCTGTAGTTTTGGTATAAATTCCTCAAGAAAGTTCAGAAATGGGTTCACTTTGTTGATTAATTTTGTAACGCGTTTTGATTTCTGTCTACATTTCGATTTTTTACTTTTTTTCAATGCTTTTTCTTTAATTCTATTATTTATGTTATCAGCTGGGTTGTTGAACTCTGGGAGTTCTGTCTTTATCAGGTCCATGAATTATTTCAAAAGGTCTAAATTTGGTGGTAGATTGAATTGCTATACATAAAAATAGATTGTATCATTAAATTTGGGATTGGATTGTTTTAAAATTGTTAATTTTTCTTTAAGTGTGCCGTGAAGTTTTTCAAGTGGACTGATTGTGGTCGGGTTGTCTGTGTTTGCGAAGTGCGAGTTGATGCGATAAAGTTTACAAAAATCTTTGAGGGTTGTTAAATTCGGTTCCCATATCAACTAATATTTTGCCATAATAGTTAACCAAATGTCTTAATTTACTGACCATGGTAATTCAATTTTTGTCTGTTATGTGATAAGCTTGCGCATACTTACTGAAATGGTCTAAAACTATCAAAAATGTATTGTTTTAAATCGTAAATAAGTCCATCGTTATTATTTCAATGGATTATGATGTTACCATAGGTCCTTTGTATGATGGTTTATGAAGGTTTCGCTTATATTTGGATTTTAGGCATACGTCGCGTTTATTAATGTAAAATGTGATTAATTTCTTAAATTGGGATAATAAAATTTTGTTCTAAAATGAGAATATGTCTCTTCGATACCATTATGATTAGTATCATGACAATTCAATATTAGTTCAGAGGCTTTTTCTCTGTTATAGGGTGTTACGTCCAGAAAGGTTTTCGTAAAAGTAACTTTATTGCATTTTCCTGATAGTGCTTCATGTAATATTTGAAATATAGAGTGTTGAAGAGTGTCCTGAATTTTGTTGTCAAAATGTAAATCTACTGTTTGGTAATGTTTTTGTGATATGTTCTCGTTTTCCTAATTTAAACGTCAATTGTAAAGGAAAAACTTGAAGAAGTCATGATCTGCACAGGAGTTGGAAAATAATGAGTCTGTCAAAATCGTCGTCTTCTTCAAGGGTGTTTATTTCCATTCGCGAAAGTGTGTCTGCTACATAGTTTCTGTGCCTTTAATACGTTTAATTTCAAAATTATATTCCCAAAGTTTAATTTTTTAGCGGGCTTGTCAATTATTGGGTTTTTAAGGTTTTGTCGTCATATTTTTGTTTTTGTTGTCCGTAAAAAGGGTGAATTTCCTACCGTAAATGTAGGGCCTAAAATATTTACAGGATTCTACTACAGCTAGTAATTCTTCTTCTGTAGTACTGTAATTTCATTCTGCTGTATTAAGTGTACGAGAGTAAAAAGCGATGGGGTGTCTAATAAATACCTAAACCTATAGCTTTATCACTAGCGTCAGTGGTAACAGAAAAATGTCTATCAAAGTCTAGATGTTTTGTAATTTTATTTCTTTCTTGTTTGTTCATGTGGTCTAATCTGAGTTGTTTAATTACGTCGCAATTTAAATTGTTATCAATTGGGGCTTTGTCTGAGTAAACATATTTGTCAAGAGTATCTACATTCATTGGCCCATTGATGTGAATATTATTGAGACGTTGCACATCGGCAAAGCCGTTATCTACAATGTAGATATCTGGTACAATTTGTTCGTGGTCGAGAATAATACAAGATCCTTTGCGTAAATTGATTGGGATTTTGCAGGTGATATTTGATAATATATTATCTCTGGTATCGTGAAAATGTATTTGTGTGTGTTCAGTAGTCAAAGTGTTGTTGGAATAATTTACAATTGCGTTCATTTTAGTCTAGTCAGCATGACTAATCAATACGTCAAAAGTTTTATAAAAATCAAAAGAATGTATAATTTGTATTGTTCTTTGATCTGTCCATGGGCCGTATTGACTTCAAAGGGTTCTTCATATAAATAATCAGAAAAATATTTGAATGCCAAAAAAGAATTCATAATAGAATCTGAAGCTCCTCTATCATTAAAAAATTTGCAGTCGTATTCGTTTGAGTAAATGTAAGGTAGTATATGTGTGAATTAGGTCATTGCTGGTTTTGAAAAAAATTGGGTCGTCTAAGCTGAGAGACGGTTATCAAGTAAACATCGCCAGTGTTTGAAGGTCTTTGAGTATTATTTTGAAGTGTATTCCTGGATTGTTGTTGAAATGCCGGTTGAGGCTTAGGCGCAATGAAAGGTCTCAAGGGAGTATTTCTTTTTAAGAAACAAAATTGTTGTCTAGGAATTTGTTGAAAGGTTCGGGGGTTCGTAAAGGGCTGTCTTTGCATTGGACTAATAGTTTGTCGAGGTGCAAAGTAATTTGTCTGTGGTTGTTGTTTTTGTGTAGGAGTGTTGTGTGGGTGTGGCTTTTTGGAAGCACTTGCCATTTGCCTATATATTTCTAATATATTATGTTCATTATCTAATTCTTAAGCGTCTGAGATAATCAAAGTGGTCGTCTTATTTTTAAGTCAGAATGAGATGGTTCACCTACAGATAACTTGAAAATACTAAGTGGTTCCTTCTGGATCGGATCACCTTCAAAAATGCCTGTCATTCAACACGAAACAGGTAGGTGTCCTGTCCAGTTTGCCTGGACTTAATACGCCAGGCGTTTTTGGCATCGATATTCTGTTCGTGGAGAGCAGAAAGGACGTCGGTAGGGAATACATTCATGCCCACAGAGCGGACAACGCCAGGGAAAGTGGGTTTGAGGTTGCGGTGTATTGAAGGCGGAGTAGAGTTAGATGATATTTGGTTAGATGTAATCTTAAGGTTGTTAGAAAGTAGGGATTGCAGAGGTGAAAGCTCTTTTATTATTTCCGGATCCTTCGAGGTGACTCGGGCTTTGTTGCCTCAGTATACAGTGAGGGAGAGGAACAGGAGCGTCGGGATGCTTCGAAGCTCGATGTGGTATGAGTATGTTAGTGTCAGATAGCTGTATTTATACGTTTCCGGCGTCGAATAATTTGTCACAAGTCATCCATAGGTTTGGTTGCTCGATCGACGCGGTGTGCACCGTCTAGCGTGTTTTGATGGGGTAGCGGCTCTCGTAGTTGGTTTCAAGAACGGTGATATTCGTAGAGGACGTTTTAATATCAGAACCAAAAATAATTCATATCATTTGACGTGTAATGACAACCAATTTGTTAGATCCTTCTTTATTGGCTTGCCAACAAATATAGTAAACGTTGAAATTAAAAATTCTTGTCCAGACGGACGGACACAAGTGACCAGATTTTGCCACCGTTGGACATACGGTAGACGCCGCGGATAGCAAAGCCTTTTAAAGACAGTTCGGAAGTGATTTCGTGGTCGGAAATGGTTTTACAGACTCCACGGAGAATGATATGAAGGTCTCTGTCCTGTTGGAGTTGGTTAGTGGAAAATTCGATCTTGGATTCGTCGAGAAAGGAAGATAAGCGACAGAAACCGTTAATGGATATAGAATAAATGCGGATGTCGCGAATTGTCGTTATGGGACTTATTAGTGAAGAAACATACAAATCAAAGGACGTTGATAGGAAAGTTCAAAGGGACGTTGCGTGCTCGGTCCCTAAGAACTGAAGGACAGTTAACTTACCTAATACTCGACTGGGCTGGTGTTGAGAGTCCAACGGTGAACAAACGTCGTATTACTGTACCGACAATAAGTATTTAATGCGACCGCAAATATATTAATAAGACGAATGTATTGTACGGTGGTATACAAGTGCGTAAAATGCACTGGCAGGCGGTAAGAGAACGGACGAACGGGGTCTGGAAGAGTCGCTGATGTAGTCATGTGAATGCACGGATTGGCTAGGGAACACATTTAATAACATTAATATCGTCCACGGTGAGAATGTGTCTACGTTGTAAGTTGGGGTGTCTGAATAGTATAAGTAGTGTTTTGTTAGGTTTGGGTTTTATGCGCCATATACTTAGCCATAGTTCCAGTGTTTGAATTTGTCAGTTGATTTTGTTGTTGGACGCTTTTGAATTGCTACCAGTTGCCCAATGAGTAGTGAGCAAGACTGATAGTGTTTTCAAGCGGTTGGGGGATATCGTAACAATAGTTGTTATACAGAAGTGGATATATATAGATGTCTATCGCGGCGTCTATACCATCCGGATTGTTAATTGATGAGGTCACCTAGAACCATGGGTCTTGGTAATGTCGATATGTAGGATTGGGAGTGCGCTGGTAGGTCTGTTATGGTAAAAAAATATGATGATGTCGCCGAAGTTACCAATAAGATTGGTTGGGATTTATCAGTGGGAATAGGTTTTGGGTGTCTATAGGTGTGCAATAGAAATGTGGACATGATTGCCGCACATGACGTATGACACTTTTAGCCTGAAGAATTGGGCGGCGTGTCGGGCTACTACGTCTTCGACTAGCCTGAAGTTAGGGTGAAGGGAAGACATACATAACTATGTGAATCGGATCACGTCTTCGATTCTGGTGAAGCGCTCAGGTTCAGGAGTGGATGACAGTTCGGGAGTAGGGTCATCGTCGTTATCTGATAACTCTTCGGTGGGAGGGTCGACGCACTTTAATGGTGCAGTCTTCCAAGGAGTGAGGGTTTTGGGATCTGATCTTTTAGGACATTTGCTGTCAAAGGCAAGGTGTTTGCCATAGATAATAGATATACAAAGTGTAATAGATGGTCAACTCAAAATGCGCTAATTTGCGCGCCCTCCAGCAGGTCTAGTCAATACTAAATAGAAAAGGCGCGCACTTTAAATTTGCAGTGTTCCCTTTTTTGTAAAAGAAAACACATTGTTTCTTTTGTAAAAAAAGAAATACATTGTTACTTATCCATTTGCAGGTTAACATAACAATTTGCGAATTTTAAAGTAATAATAAGTGAAGGAATAGTAAAAAAAGTTATTGAATGTAACAAATAAACTTGTACAAAATAAAATATTTTATCTAATTTGAACAGACAATTGGCCAAATAGAAAAGGCCACAAAACGGAAAAACAAAAATATAGTTTAAATTAGAGTGACAAAAGCAACAATTTTCCCTCATTAATTTGGGGTAGCGTTTAGTGGGTAAAAAATTCAAAAATTAATTTTCAGAATAATATTTCATATTAGTAGTAACAGTTTAAGTTTTTAGCAACTTTTAGTAGGTAACTTTAGATAATGTACTATCAACATTTTGAACACAATTTTAATTAAATATTACCAAAATAATAAAATTAATGAAAATTATACTGAGAAAGGTACCGTACCGAATATACTGTCGACAAAAAGTATGCATAAAAATTGAACGTTGGTCAAGCTCTTCAGTGACACTTGCCGGAATGTATAGCTGGGGCACTTAATGATCGGTGACTGTGAAACCTGTAAAAATAATAAAAATTATACTTTTAAAGGTACCGCACTGAATACTGTCGACAAAAAGTATCCATAAAAATTGAACGTTAGTCAAGCTTTTCAGCAACACTTACCGGAATCTGTGGCAATACAATAGAAGGAGAGGCTCGTAGGCAGACAGCGATGGTCTGTAACTGTGAAAGCTGTGAAAATAAGTAAAAAAAAATAAAAAAGTACTTTCTTTGATAATACCGCAGCATGCAAATGTGTAATAAAGAAGACATGTATGACACTTACCAGTTATCTACTTCCTACGTAGAAACTTTTGGTGTTGTGCGTACTTGCTCGCCGCGTATTGCTTCATGGGATCCAGAGATGTTCCCACCTTTTTCTTGTCTTGCAGTACCCTGTTGATATTTTGAATCCACGTGAACAAGTGGAATTTCCAAATATACTGCACCAGCAGCAGGCTTAGATCATGTTGGGTGCAGTGGAAGCGATTGTCGTGCTGCATTGTGTGCTTCGGCACTACCTCCATCTCTCCAGTAATATTTATATCGGCACAAATTTGAGGTAATATGTGACGAAGTAGAAAAATTGCTATTTGGAAGAAACAGTTGAAGGTTGTCGAAGGAGACAGCAGGGCATTAGGGGAGTAAGCCCTCGCTTGAATTACAAAATAATCCTTCGCAGTCCTATCGTCTCCCAAAAGATCTAGTCTGCATTGCTTACACCTTGTCACCTTGGAGAGCACTGTTTCAGCAACAAAACCAGCCACATACTTTAGTGTGCCCCTACGCAATAACGTAGTATCGGTTGGTCTGTGTTCGGGAATGTCACTTGTTGTGGTGGTGACTTTGCCGGAGAGGAATTGTTTTAAATTATCAAAGGCCCGTAAATTCTCACTCTCGCAATTAAAGGATTTGGAACGGTTTGCCAAATAATTAATAATTATGAACGATTTGAAAGAATTGACAAAAGCGGCCGCATTAGGACTGACGTTCCGTACTCCATGACTGCGAATGCACCCGAAGAAGTTCTCCAAACAATCTTGATTGAGATTCCTCAGACAAAGAAACGACAGTCGCTCCTTCCGCAGTACATCCCACAAGTTCCGAAATCCCTCCAAAGTGCGAATCCAGTTCTTAACCGTTGGTGGAATAATTTTAGCGTTCCATGAGTTGAAGAAGGAAATGGTCTTCAGTACCGTTATCGCTTCTGTCCAAAACTGGGAATGTTTAGACTTTGACGTCACAGCTCATCTCAGTCGCTTGCCATATTTTACGTTAATGAAGGTCCCGTTGAGGCTGTCGAATAATTGGTCCATAAACAACAAAAATTCTGCGGTACTAACAGCCTTATGAGGTAGACCGTTCGATATTGATGTTAAGGTGGTCATCGCAGCCGCCACGTTCCTGCTGAGCACCTGAGCAGCTATGGAAACTTTCATTTTGCGGGTAGTGTTGATGTGATCCACAGTCAATTTGCTGCATATTTTATAGTCGTCACCCTTTCTGCCATTTAGGTCGTACAACTGACGAACGTGATCCCATTTCGCAACTTCCACATTCCATTGGAATCGAACGTCATTTAAAAAGAAATTGTTCCGCATGTGTTTCAGAAGGTGAGGTGCATCATACAGATGTACAACTTCCTGCCCCCCTATCAATACTCCGAAAAGTTTGTTTTCTTCACCTCGTTTGATGGCAGCAACGTTGGACGTGCCTTGGTCTGAGATAAGGGCCTTAACAATTGGTCCAGCACCCTGGCAAGTCACAATGACCTCGCATACCCCCTTATTTAAAATAGTATGCCGACGGTTGCTTCCACTTGCCGAAAATACCTTCTCTCACCAACGTGACCGTTATCCTGGAAGCCATCCACCGATTCGGAATCGTGATTGTACTGCAGGAGTGGTTGAATAGTCATTTCATCAAAAACGACGCTACAGTACCGCATCAGTATATCGACCGACTGAACCTTCTTCGCAACGCAATTCATAATGCTTTCATTGATTCAGGTGACAAAGGGTACTTGGCGTAGGAAACTGTTTAAGGTTCCGCGACATGGTGCCGCAAAAGTTTGTACCCCTTCGGACTTTGTTATAACAGGGATAAAAACTGAGCCATGACGAACTTATAAGTGTGTTTATTAAGTACTGCCTTTAAAAATGTCGTGGAATGAGCCATTTTCTCTATTTTTCGCACTAGGTCCTGACAGTCCGTGGAAGTTGTCCGAAATTTCTCAGCAAGCTTTCGCAACCGGCGGTCATTCGGTTTCACAACTAAAAACGGACGTTTGCGTGACCGACATACCGCTTTGGATCTCAGAAGGATCATCTATCAACAAATGTAAATTTTGTTTACCGGAACATTCCCTCTGTGTCGACGGGAAATGTAGCACCTGTGGAGAAAGTTTAATTGCGTAAATGAGAAGACAACAGTCATTTATTACGGAACTAACCGGTTGCGATTACAGACGCCGTTGTCGGTAGTAGTCTGTAGGAATCGGCGGATGTGGCGTCGGTATGTGGGACATTTGTGAAAACAAAAAAATTACAGCAACATATCCATATGAGACTTTATACGGAAATACAGCAGTATGCGGAAGAAAAGCTTCTCAAGTGATATGTCTCAGTACAGAAGTACATGCACTCCTTTGTAAAAACGAAGGCATTAAGTCATTAACCGCAAGAAAATATTAATATATTTCAATTCTTAATGTACGCTCAATAACAATGTATGCAGAGATTGATTATTGAAAAAGATATTAGTTACCTCTCTCTGCAGGAGCGCTTGGCAACAATAACGTCGGAACGCCATCCTGCTTTACGGTCTGCTCCGAAGTGGATGTGACAGACGCGATATTATCTCCTTACATAGTTCATCGGTTTCTGTAGGAAGTCAGCACGGCCAATCCGCAGTTGATAACGCTGTGATCAAAGAAAAGTATTTATAATTACCGTAATAAGAAGTTGCAACTTAATATATAAGTCACAGACGAAACGTCGGAATGATAAATTAATTCTTAATATGCACAATTGTAAATCGTGCAACTCCATACGAAACGTAATACTTACAAAGTGGCTACAGTAACCATGCAGTATTAATTTGAAATCATTTTGTCGATTTTTTATTTACCCACTACAAACTACCTCAAATTAATGAGGGAAAAATTGTTGCTGTTGTCACACCCCCGCCGGGAATCGAGCCTGGGACCTTTGGCTTTACGCACCAATGTTCTGACCACTAAACTACGAGAGGTGACAACAGCAACCACGACTATTAATTTAATTATATATATATTAACTAGTGAGGCCGNGGGGGTGTGACAACAGCAACAATTTTTCCCTCATTAATTTGAGGTAGCGTGTAGTGGGTAAAAAATTCAGAAATGAATTTTCAGAATAATATTTCATATTAAACTAACTCACTTCTAAAAGATATCTAAATTATATGTATGTTTAATCATAGTATATTCAGTATATAGTTACATTAGTTCGACGGATCGTTAACCTTGTAGGTCGGTTGGTCGTGGTTGTTGTTGTCACCTCTCGTAGTTTAGTGGTCAGAACATTGGTGCGTAAAGCCAAAGGTCCCGGGTTCGATTCCGGGTGGGGGTGTGACAACAACAACCACGACCAACCGACCTACAACAGCAACAATTTTTCCTTCAGTAATTTGAGATAGTTTGTAGTGGGTAAATAAAAAATCGAGAAAATGATTTCAAATTAATATTGCATATTAATCCACTATTAATAATCATAGGATTTCATACAGTAACCATCTTTGTCAACGTAACGTGTAATTTACTAACATATGTACATTGAAAATTCAGTTCCTTACCATTTCGTCTTTAGGAGACATATGCATGGGAACATCCCGGTTGGTATTAGAGCAACCGTAAACACAACAATAAAACACCAGTGTTGTATGAAAAAGTTGCTGTAACAAAAATGATTACTATTTACTATAGTAGAAAAGTATAGACAAAATGAAAAAAAAAGAAGAAACGTAAAAAAAATTAAGTAAACATTAAAACAACAACTTCAACTTCAACTGAATATCACCAATGTATAGCGGACGATAAACGTACAACAATCTGCCTTTACATTTTTTTTTATGTTTTCGTGGAAGAGGGGAAATATTTAAAAGATACCTAGTCGTCCGTACGACTGGGTAGTGTCGGATTCCCGAGGAAGAAGTCCTTGGACCTACCGACTAAAACCCCTCTACCTCAGACCGTTCTAGGATCAACTAGGATCCTCTTCAGCCGAGTCTGCCTTTACAATGGAATTATTTCCTTTTATATCGTCAATGATCGTACCTTCATAAAATGGAAACCAATAAGAAACTACTGCAGGGGCGTACACGACATAGTGTGGGGTTAGAGAACCAATGAAGGCCTTAAAGAAGGAGAGGAATAGCTATTTACATCAGCAATGTCTTCAGCAATCCCTATCACGTTACATTAATTGCTTAAGTGTGCTCATTAAAACGCAATTATTTGAGCTGACATGTGCATTAGTAACGTGGTATAATCACGCACAAATGAACACCCTAAAAGAACGTGCATTAAATAATTTGTGTATGTTGCATATACAATTCTCAGAAGTTATAATTCTCTCCTTCACACTGCGTCTAGTAGAGCGTCCTTTGTTTGTACCGCTAATTGGTTCATCTCTACCCGGTCAGCCGAGTGACGGGTGCGCTGCCAACGACATAGGGCTCGATTCTTTTCCCTGATCAGTCTGCTGACTGCATCAGGTATTCGAATCGGAACCCTGGTCGTCGTGTGGGTCGTTGTCGTTTGTTCCAGTGACGACAGTACTGCAGCTGTGAGTGTGTGAACGGCTTCTTCGATGTCCCGTTGGCTTCGTATTACCTTGATCTTAGGAAAATTTTCCTGAAGATGGTCGGTAAATTGAGGCCAATAGGTGGACTTCCTCTCGTAGACGGTATTGTTATTGTCGGTACCTAGTGACAAAACAATCGGATTGTGATCAGATGAGAATTCACTTACGGCCGTGGTGGTTGACGTGCAATTCCTGTGTGGATGCCCGAAACGTTGGCATCGGTGGCACTGGTCCGTTGTCGTGGCGTCTCTACTGAAATTTTAAGAAAACAAACTGTTGTTAGTTTAAATATTTCTTTACTTTTGCCGTTTTTTTGTAGGATAACCAAGTGGTATTGGTGCCTTCGTCTTACCGCTAGTCATCCTGACGACGTTTCCGACGTTAAAACCCTGCGCCATCAAGTCTTCTGTTACATCTGCAGTCTGGATGTCTGTCGGGATACCGCGAAGTACCACCTTCAACGGTTTTTGTCTTCTTGAAGCAAGTACGTGTGGTGCTCGACGGTCTCTTGCTTCAGCAGCTTTATCATGTTCCTGTAGTTCATGATGGTTTCGGAATGGACGCTTATCCCGTCTGCTATGTTACTGGCCTTCAGAAATTTCACGTTGTGTCTCGCTAGCAGGCCTGCTAATGTTGTCCATCGGTGCATCTCTCGAATGACGATTACTGGGACACGCTGTCGCTTTGGCAACGACGATCGATTTTGCGAAGCCGAACTTTCGATTTCGCTCGCTGTATCGCTGGACATTTCGACGTCGACTGGCAATCCTTCGTAGCTCGTCGGTGTCGCTGGCAGCTTTTTCACTCTGACGCTTGTCGCACGTAGCTTCTTCGTAGGATGCTGGAAACTTCTTAGCTCGTTTGGAGTAAGCGAGCTGCAAGCAGCCGCGTCCTCCATCTCCGTCGGTCGCTTTGGGCTGTCTTCCGTCGCTGTAAAGATTTTGGTAAATTAGTTTTAAGAAAGAGTGTTTTTCTATCGGCTGTGGATAGGAAGTCCTCTGCTGTTGTTCTTCTCTCTGCTCTGGACACGTCCGCTCTGTTGGAAGATCAATCGAAGGGTGACGTGTATGATGGTTTTTTTTTTATTAAATTATTCTCGAGGAGGGGAAATCTTCAAAGTACACCCCCTGAAGGGAGGTAGTATCGGATTTTTACCTACCAAAACCCCTCATCGAGTGGGGAGATAAACCCTGAGGGTTACTCATCCCCGGGAAAAGGAATAGGGGTTGGGATTTGGGAAAGGCATGAGAAGGGAAATTTGTTAAGCGTGGGGGAGATTCGGGGGGTAGAACTGTCGGAGTAGGTGGTCCACCTCGGGGGTGGACACTCGCGTTAAAAAGCGAAGCTAGGAGTGAGCGAGAGGGAGTGGCTCATTGTAGAAGGTGACAGGGCCTTCGGAAATGGTCGTTCGGCTTCGGGGCGAAGTTGGAGAGTGTCAAAATTGTGGAGTTTGCGTGGCCTGCCACTGAGGCCCGGAGATTTGCTGCGAATGAAATTACAGCCTCAGGAAGAAAAGGTAAACCGGTTTCTTTTAGAATTTGGGTGTTTCTCACGAACTAGGGATAGTTTAGTGCGGAACGAAGGATCCGCATGAACGTGCCTTGAAGAGGTTTCAGGCGGTGAGGAAGGGCGCAGGTCTAGACGGGAATGGCGTAGGATCAAATGCTTCTGAGTATTGCGTTAAATGCACGGATTTTCGTATGTTGGACGATGGAGTGATTTCGGAAGAAAGGCTTGATGTCATTAAAGTGCGATGAATTCACCCATTGCCTTGTTACGGGTAGCTGCGATGTGGGACCGCCACGTTAGGGTCCTGTCGAAATGCTTTGCGCATTCCAGGTAACGATGCGAAGATTGTCTGGGTGGGCTGTCTTACTCATGGGTGGGCGTTTGAAGGACGGTGAACAGACTTGCTACCATCGTTTGAACGTTGGCCTGGATCCTCTGTTCAAGAGAAGAAGTTGCAGGGGTGTTTGGGGACGCATTGCGTTTTTGAGGGGGAAGGGGGGAGCTGCTGTCACTGCCCTGGAGTAAGATTTGTGGGACCGTCCTTACGGGGATGTATGTTGGACGGGGCGTTAGTTGCACTGACTTTTGTGTGCTGGGGGCACTATAGATTTTTGAGGGGATTCAGTACTCTTTGTAACCTTGGGGCAGCCGCGATGTGTGGCACAATGGTTGCCTTTACAGTTGGCACAAGTGGGAGTGGCATCTTTCTTGTCTTTTACCTTACATTCGGCAGTGACATGGTTGCAGCCACAGAAGGAACAGACCCAGGCGGCGTGACAATAGTTGACCGTGTGGAAGAACTTCAAACAACGGCGGCATTGGGGAATGTCTTTTGTTGCCTTTTTTGGCTCAACTCTTCGGCTGAGCCCGCAGACCTTGCCAAGTTCGAAGATAGATTTGGACTTCTGGGATGATCTGTCCAGACGAACGGACACTAAGGGCCAGATTTTTCCACCGTTGGACATCCGGTGGACGCCGCGGATGGCAAAGCCATTGTGGATAAGCTCGGCTTTGACATCTTCAGTGGGAATGTCTTCGCGAACTCCACGAAGGACAACATGGAGGTCGCGGTCTTGTTTAAGTTGGTTCGTGGATAACTCAACTTTCGATTTGTCGGGGAAGAACGAGAGTCGACGAAAATCGTGCACGTAATTAGGATACTCTTATAGTCTTTTGTATTTATCGCCCGCCGAGTGGCGATGCCGTGGCTGTCCATGGCGCGAAAAATTTTCGGCCCAAAGGACTTTTGGCGGATTTCTATGGGGGGGCGAGCTTTGGTATTTTGGCTGGTAGCTCCGGTCTCTGCCCCAGAATCGGAGAACGTTGAAGATTCCGAAGACGGAAAAGTAGTACGTCTTCGGCGCTTGTTACGCCGCTTCCCGACTTCTGTGAAGCCGTCAGCGGCAGGGGGGGGTTAGTCTCGATCGGATAATTCAGCCCGTGTAGTAGAAGAAGACACGACGTGCTCACACATTGGGGAAGATGGGGAACTTTCGGAGTGTTGTGGCAAGAATTCGTTGATTATGGCGAGCTTGGACTGCAGCTCGCTCGCCAAGGACATAATTTTCGCAATGGAAAGGTCCCTCCAAGAGTGCGGGGCTCTTGGGGGTAGCCATTTCGAAATGGCTAGCTAAAGAAGTTTGCCTACTCCTGTGGGACGTATTGTATATGGTACAAAGTAAGAAAATGTTAGGTTTTTATTGTTAGTTTAATTGGTGGGGGGTTAAGGGAGTTCAGAGGGGCTTTGCGTACTCCGTCCTAAAGAACTGTTGGTTAGTAATATTTTAAATTGGTTAAACTTACCTAAAAAACGGCTGGGTAATTGTTGAAAACTTGTAGATATTGATGAATATTAAACCACCTGGTTTAATAAGCCGTCGCTATATAGGCAGTGATAACTGCCGGTTGTTGTGTTCGTCGGCTGCGGTAGCTGGTAAGAAGACGGTGGAGAATGTTGCTGGTCGCAAGTACGTATTGAAGCTCGAATGGTTCGAGCTCGAGTGTTGGGTTGTGTTGTTGGTGTCAGCTAGGTCTATTTATATGGTTACGGCGTCAAATGATCTTGTGATCAGGTCATCAATTGGTTCGGTTGCGCGATCGACTCGGTGTGCAGCGGCTAGCGTGTGTTGGTGGGGAACTGGCTCTCGTAGTTGGTTGCAGCAACGGTGATATTCGTTAAGGACGTTTTGATATCAGTACCACTAAACATCTCATATTGTTGGACGTATAAAGACAACCAATTAGTTAAATTCGTCTTTATTGGCTTGCCAACAAGTATAGTAAACGTTGAAATTTAAAATTCTTGTCAAATTAATCAATGTCAGCGTACTATTTTGAAAGTATTTGTACACATTTGTATTTAGTAATATTTTCTTGTGATAATTTAAACTTATCGTTTAAAAAAACCTTTATGCTTCATTATATTACTAGGTTTAACCCGCGTCTTCGCTCGCATTTATGTCCTAGTTTCGTGTCATAGATCAGTCATAAAATTAATTTTTTTAAGTACCTTGGGAACAGTATATTTTTTGGATAAAAGGTGCGTTAAGTCCTTTTCTGTACCCCTGATAATGTGTGTTAAAAATATCATGATAATCGGCTAAGGCGTGATGTAATAAATAGACTAACTCACTTTCGCATTTATAATATTAGTTAAGATACGCACTGTATTGTTTATTATTACAAAATCGAATAAAAGAATATAACCTGTTACGTTGAGATATTAAAGATCAATATACGACCGATAAATTTCTTCTGTTGTTGATTGTTGTTTCTGAGTCTATTATATATTGATTTAATAATAACAAACATCGCAATTATAATAATAACAAAAATTATAGGAGAATTAATATGATGTTGGGAACCAATTTTTTTGTAATTAATAAAATTATTATTGATTTTTAACGGTTCTTTAAATTTAATATCATTCTCGTTAATCCTGTGAAACAATTCTTTTGGTACAATTCTTATATTTCTAAATATTGGTCATATGTTATGTTCTTACGACTACATCCATTGTTATATACAATGAAGACTTTCCAGGCTAAAGAGCCATGGTCTTAAAATTCCACTAGACCACGGCTCTTTCGCCCAGAAAATCTTCTTCGTATAAACTCCAACCGTGAAAGCCTACAAGCATATATATACATCCATTGTTGTTAATTATATTCAGTTTAATTTCCCTTTTATTTATAGGTTCGTTACAATATTCTAACACGTTTCCTTCGTTTAAATAGGTCAAAATTGTCCAATTCTAATTAAATAAAAGTACTTATGTCCGTAACACTTTTCACAAATGTTCACCTATCATCTAACTTACGCAACTTGCTCTCCCTCTCTCTCTCACACACACACACACATCGCTTTAGGCATTCTTTGTAATTAGTAAGTCATTTGTTACCTTTTCTTACCACTGGTTCATAGAAATTCGTCATGGTATATCCATTTGTGAAATGATTTTCTCCAATTTCTTTGTTTTGTATAAAGCTCTTCGTAGAATTGCGTTCTTTAATTTCGTATATATTTATCATAAGCCTTCATAAAATTTTAAACTAATTTCGATATGCAGCTGATCAATGTCATCGTTCGATCCACATAAAATTTTGAAACGCGTAAACTGCATTGTGGTAACGTTCTTTTTTTCTCGTTACTACTTAGCTTCCTATTGAGGAATGCAGATTGTTTTTGTTATTGTCTAATTCGGTATTATTGTTGCTTTCGAGATTATTTACGTATTTCGATATTGTGTTGAATTCACTTACGTAAATATGTTTATTTATTCTACGAGTTTGTTGATGGTCACTTTCACATTTAAGCGTAGATCGATCCTTGTAGTGGCTGTAGTGTTATCAACCCGAGTCTGCTAAACTGTTGTAAAAGGCGTGATTGAATAACGGACTCAAGCAAACGTTGTTTTAAAAAAAGCTAAAAAAGATCAACAGCCATTAACAAATATTACTAAAACTTTGTATAGATAAAACTGTAAAAACTAACTAACATAACATTGTTTTGAAAGCGTTGTACGATTAAAATAATAAATAAATAAATTATTGAAAACCACGCGGTGACACAAACACTTAAAATAAAAAAAAAAGTATATCATATGCATGTTTCCACTGTAGAAAATATTAATTTATTGAACAAAGTTAATTCATACCATACATGGTAGTTCTGTATAACACACATATGATGCTACAGCCTATATTACCCCCATATGTAATAAACTCTACTGGAAAAATCCAACTCATACATACATACTAAGGATTAAAATTATTAATATATAAAAATCGAAGTATCGAAAACAGTAAAAATTAACAATTGTACAAGTGTACAATTTCTAAACACTTTAGCCAAATTTACGAAGAGACAAAATGTTACAAACAGGCGAAGTATTTATTCACATTATAAAACAA